CACACACACACACACACACACACACACACACACACACACACACACACACACACACACACACAAAATTAGCAGCAAAGCTTGTGATCGATTTTTATAAAACAATTACACACATAAGAGACATTTTATTTCTTGTTTCTTATAGCCACTCACTGAGAACATAACCAAGAACATAACCAAGATTTTTCAGTTTTCCAAAGTGTCTTTATCCTGAAGTCATTACTCTTCATGATTCATAACATGAGATCACCACTGTTTGATCAGCATTATACGCTGGGCTCAGGAAACCAAGTTAAAATAATCCTATTAAACATGTAATCCAAGTAATTCCATAGGGAGATGATATCATATTAGTGGATGAATTACAGTATAATGAAAAGGAAGCAGACCACCTACGTGCAGCCAGAAGGCTACAGTAATTCAATCTAACGTTGACAGACAGCACGTCATTTCACAGAAAAACACTGGCTTAGACTGAAACACAATGAAAATGCACAATGCAGTGGTGCTGGTAGGACTCAGGTCAGTGTTTTTCACGTTATATCACAGTTCAGAATCACTTAGTGACTTTGCAGAAGCTGATAAACACAGCAATATCAAGAGGCCATTCAGCGATACAGCAGCAGTCTGTTACTACAACAGTCGGATCATCTCCACAACAAAGAGGAGTGTGGAGTGTCACACACTGGATGTGTTTGACATTTTGCTCCCTCTCACTGTTGATATGTGCTCAGCCCTGCAGCGACATCAGCAGCTGCGTGTTTCTAAAAGACCCGTGTAGAATGTTCACTGCCTGTGAGAGGACTTTGTTGTTGTCACATGAGGGAAGACAAATAGCAGCCTTTTTGAAAGAAAAATTCTCTCTCTTTTTGATGCTTGTTCCTAACAGAAGAATGTCTCAGTGACCGTGGAGGACAGGATGGTTCTCACAAAAAGGGAAAATCACATGATTTCCACCACAATCCACATAAATTACATTTCTGTAAACACTTAGACTATTTAAATTGTAATTTGTTGTTTTATCAATGATTTATTTATCATCCCCAAAATAAGATGTATTTTTTTATTTTTCACCAAAGATAAGAAGCTGAAATATTAGCTGCGTGCATTTACTGAACCTCTTGTTACAGTGTTTATATATGAATGATATATAATTATATATTGAATGATAATGTCAGTATCATGTTGGAAAGCTGCAGGCATTGTGAAACTGAATTTTCTTTTTCCAGGGATGTTTAGCTTCAATGTATCTAAAGAGAAATGAAAGAATAATCTGAAATAATATTTATTTAAGAGAATTTTTCCAATTCTTTTTACCAGGTCAACAAAGGTTTACATAATTATCAATACTTCTTCAGGTTGTTTGAGAATCTTTTGAAGATTTTACGCAGACTTTTTGCCACTTTTTTCACTCATTTTCTGCATCTGACCCCTTTATGCAGATTGCCAATAAACAAATAAGAATCACTGACACAGTGGGAACAAAGAAGAGTTAGTTACCGGTATTTAAATAAAACATCTGCTGCATGAACAGTCTTTAAAAATATTAGATTTTTTTCTTCTTCTGCTACCTTTAATCAGTGTGCATTGCCAATGCAATGCACACTATTGTGATTCGTTTCCCATCTAAGTCATCTCAACTTTGCCATGCTTCTCCTCCAGCATACTTTGTCCTAGAGCTGCCATTGTAATTTATATCTGTAAAGCTCCTGTGCCAAATGATGGCTATGCCTTTTGGTGCCTGTAAAACTTATAGTTTATGAAATATTAATG